GATACCGTGTTTGTCAAAAAAAACCTATAAAAGTATCTATGTCCATTTATTTCTTTTCCTTTAAGATCAATACGTAAATACTCATATATTTATATTTTACTTTTTTCTTGAAGACGGGTCTTGCTCTGTTCCTCAGGCTGGAGTGCAGTGGTATGATCGCAGATAACCACAAACTCTGCCTCCAGGCTCAAGCAATCCTCCTGAGGCCTCAGTCTTCCAAGTAGCTGAAACCAGAGGCATGAACCTCCACACCCAGCAAATTTTTGAATTTTTTGTAGAGATGAGGTTTTGCTATGTTGCCCAGGCTGGTCTCAAACTCCTGAGCTCAAGTGATCTACCTGCCCTAGCCTCCCTAAGTGCCAGGATTATAGCATGAGCCACTGTGCCTAACCTATATTTTACTTTAAAATAAGCAGTCGAAAGCTCGCAAGTGAGTATCAAGTTAACATGTTTGATGATGGATACCAAAAAATATGTTCATGATTTTGTCTTTTCAACAAATGTTGGAATCACTAAATATCCATTTGCCAAAAAAAAATTTTGACAGATACCTTGCAATAAATATAAAATTCAAATTGGATCCCAGTTATAAACGTAAAATCTCAAACTATAAAACCTCTAGGAGAAAATCTTTGCAACCTTGGGTTAGGCAAAGATTTCTTACATCAAAAGTAACCCAGAAAAGAACAAACTGAAAAATTAGACTTCATCAAAAGTTAAAACTTCTCTACAAAAATCACTGTTACAGGGGATGGGAAAAAAACAAAAACAAAATCACTGGTAGAGAAAGACCAGCCAAAGACTGGGAAAAAAATATTTTCAAATCATTTATCTGATAAAGAACTTATATCAAGAATATATATACATGTACACACACACACACACACACACACACACACACACAAACACACACAAAGAACTCTCAAAACAACTTTAAGAAAACAACTCAATTACAAACATGTAAATGATCTGGATATTAACCAAAAAAGATACATAAATAGCAAACAAGAACATTAAAAAATGCTTAGGCATGGTGGCTGACACCTGTAATCCCAGGACTCTGGGAGGCTGAGGTGGGTAGATCCCTGGAGGTCAGAAGTTCGAGACCAGCATGGCCAGCATGGTAAAACTGTCTCTACAAAAAATACAAAAATAGTCTCTACTAAAAAAATATAAAAATCAGCTGGGCGTGGCAGTGCTCACCTGTAATCCCAGCTACTCAGGAGGCTGAGGCAGGAGAATTGCTTGAACCCGGGAGATGGAGGTTGCAGTGAGCTGGGACGGTGCCACTGCACTCCAGCCTAGGCGACAGAGTGAGACTCGGTCTCAAAAACAAACAAAAAAATGCTCAATATCACTGGTCATTAGAAAAATGCAAATTAAAACCAAAATGGGATACTACCACACACCTATTAGATGGTTGAAACTGACCATACCAAGTGTTGGTGAGAACATGGAGGAACTGGAACTTTCATACCCTGTTGGTTGAAATGTAAAACAAGGCCAGGTGTGGAGGCTCACATCTGTAATCCCAGCACTTTGGGAGGCCAAGGCAGATGGATCACCTGAGGTCAGGAGTTCCAGACAGCCTGGCCAACATAGTGAAACCCCGCCTCTACAAAAAATATAAAAATTAGCTGGGCGTGGTGGCACAGGCCTGTAATCCCAGTTACTCGAGAGGATGAGGCAGGAGAATCACTTGAACCCAAGAGGCGGAGGTTGCAGTGAGCCGAGATCATGCCACTGCACTCCAGCCTGGGAGACAGAGTGAGACTTGGTCTCAAAAAGGAAAAAAAAGAAAGAAATCTAAAACAAAACAACCATGTAGGAATGTAGTTTGGCAGTTTCTTAAAAGGTAAAACATTCTGTGTAGCTGAGAGAAGTGAGAAAAAAAATAAAAATAATTAAAAAAAAAAAAGTAGGCCGGGCATGGTGCCTTCACACCTGTAATCCAAGCACTTTGGAGGCCAAGGCGGGCAGATCACCTGAGGTCAGGAGTTCAAGACCAGCCTGACCAACATGGTGAAGCCCCGTCTTTATAAAAAAATTAAAAAATAAAATAAAAATAAAACATTCAGTTACCATATGATGCAGGCATTCTACTCCTAGGTATCATCCCAAGAGAAATGAAAGCATAGGTCCATACAAAGATTTGAAGACAACTGTTCACAGCAGTTTTATTTTTTTATGAGCCCAAAACTACTAACAACCCAAATGTCCATCTCCAACTGAAAATATATTTCTTCACTTTAGAATGACAGTTTTCAAAGTTATTTTATTTTTCCTTGGCACATCAGTGGTGTTATTCTATTGGGTTTTGGCTCCTATTAACGCTTTGGGTAAGTCTGCTAAACTAACTGCTGTTCAGCTATAAATGACTTTTCTCTCTCTGGCTGCTTTATTACTTTCTCTTTATATTCAATGTTCAGTAATTTCACTAGAATGAACTGAATTATCTATTTATATTTTTTCTACTTGTAGATAACATTGTCTATTTCTAGGCACAACCAAAGAGAAGAATAAAAAATGATTTAAGAGTGACTACCATCTTAATTCTCCCAAAGATTGTTCAGAACAAATATGTGTACCATGGATGCCCTAGAGCAGTTTTCACACTTTAGCTTGCAACACAAACATTTGGGAACTTATTACAGTACAGACTTCTAGATTCCACACCCAATTTCTGAGTCACTAGGTCTGGGGTCTTGCCAGCAAACTGCATTTCTAATAGGTTCCCAGGTGATGTTGATAATACAGATCAGGAAAGAGCTCATGCTTTAAGAACCATAGCCTTAGGGATTTATGATAATTATCTCATGAAACCCCCACAGAGAAGGACCATGGGACTTAACCTGCTTCTTAAATCTAGAGATTAGTATTTATCATCCATTCTAAACAATTTTTAGCTTGAAATATTGCTCTCTCCCACTTATTTTTTGGTTTTGTTTTGTTTTGTTTTGCTCTCTCCCATTTCTTTCTTTCTTTTTTGAGACGTGTATCGCTCCGTCACCCAGGCTGGAATGCAGTGGCATGATCTCAGCTCACTGCAATCTCTGCTTCCCAGGTTCAAGCCATTTTCATGCCTCAACCTCCTGAGTAGCTGAGACTATAGGCACATGCTACTATGCCTGACTAATTTTTTTGTATTTTACTATAGAGGGGTTCCCATCATATTGCCCCATGCCGGTCTCGAACTCCTAAGCTCAGGCAATCCACCACCTCGACCGCCCAAAGTGCTAGGATTACAGGCTTGAGCCACCGCACCCAGCCTCCCATTTCTCCTTGTAAAATTACCAACTATGTAAAACAATAATAGCTCCTCTGTGAGGAGATAGAACTGTCCCAGTTCATTCTTCACCCAGGCGTCAGAACAAAATAAAATCTGATATCATTCCTCTACCCTAAATTGTTCACTGGCTTCTCTACACCTACAAGAGCAGTTGCTTTAGGGGAGGGATACATGAATGGGCTTCAGAGGATGCAAATATTTGAGTATTTACATTATGGTACACATATTTTCTAGAATACTATCAAATAGGTCTGTGACCTAAGCATGTTAAAAACTGTTTACCTATTACATTCCCAATGAGTCAGTGTGCTACATAAATCTATGCCCACCTTTCTCGCAGACACCTTGCCTTACGTCACTCTGAGCACATCACGCTTTCAAACTTTCACCTTATGCCCCTATTACATACTCCACCTAGAATGCCCAACAGATCTCTCATAGGCCTGACAAAGTTTTACTTGTATGCCTAAGAGCTCCAATATCACCTCCCCAAGAAACCTTCCCTAACCCACTTCAGAGTTAATTGCTACCTTTTCTATTAGCCCTCAGCACTTTACACAAATATCCACTATTATTTTTCATCCTTCCAATTACTGGTCTACAGAAATGTCTTCCTCTAGAGTTATCTCAGGCAAGAACTTAATCATTACCTTTAAATCTCCATAACAGATACCCAAATGTTTGGTATATATATAAACACATTACCCTACACAGTACCTAAATATAATTTTTCGTTGGACTCCATAAACAGTTTCTAGGAGAATATATATTTATATTTTAAGAATTTGCACGTCTGTAATCCCAGCACTTTGGAAGGGCAAGGCGGGTGGATCACCTAAGGTAGGTAGTTCAAGACCAGCCTGGCCAACATGGTGAAAGCCCGTCTATACTAAAAATACAAATAATTAGCCAGGCGTGGTGGCGGGTGCCTATAATCCCAGCTACTCGGGAGCCTGAGGCAGGAGAATCACTTGAACCCAGGAAGCAGAGGTTGCAGTGAGCCAAGATTGTGCCATTGCACTCAGCCTGGGCAACTAGAGCGAAAACCCCATCTCAAAAAAAATTAAAGTTTTTTTAAAAAAGAATTTTCAGGTCTTCATCTAGATTTTCAAGCGAGCCTGAATCTTGAATCTGATTCAAGAACAGAATCAGATTCAAGATTCAGATTGGTGTAAATGGCACCTAATCTAGTTCCATTCTCACATTTCTTCACAAACTGCCTCAAAGTATCAAAGCAAAGAATTAACAGCTCTGTAATGTCAACAGAACCAAAAGAAGAACATTGGGGGGGTGATCAAATTTAGTTCAAAAATCTTAACAGAAGAAAATAAGTACTTCTATTCTAGTTGCTGTATAAGTCTGCCTTGTTTTATCATCTCACTTAACACATGGATGTACATATTATAAATTTTGAGAAGATTCCTCTCATTATTTGCTAAAATGCTCACGTGCTACAAAAAAAATTTTTATAAAGGTTTATACTACAACAAAGAGTTGTTCTCTTTAGGGGCAGAGGGCAGGATTGAGGAGCCAAGGAAGTCTTTCACTATTTTTCAAATGTCTCTGCATTGTCTTTTTAAAAACTAATGTTTTGTATTACTTTAACAACCAGAAAAACACAATGGAAAGGGGGAAAAGCCATATTCTATGTTAGGCTACTTAAGAAAAAAGTTTGATTAATTATAAAACTACTTTAATATATTATTCTTACCAGATTTAAGACCTGAAATTTTGAAGATGGCACTTGGCTTCCCATTCGTGACAAATCCTAGGAGTTGCCATACTGGCATTCCACTTGAATCAGGATAAGAAAAGTAGACAGATCCTCCCATTCCCTCAGGAAAAGGGATTGTTCCCAGCATAAAAACCACAACATGGTTGATACTTTCATAATCAGGTAAGTCAAAAACAAATTTATCCTCTGCCACTTGCTGTGCAGCTGTTTGCACCTAGAAAAATAAGAAACTTGTCTTAGTTCAATGGTGTTATGAGTTTCTGTAACTCTTAACAATATTGCTTATAAGCTATATTACCAGCATAATCCATTATAGTCTTTTTACCAAATATAATGTTAGCTTGATAGTCTTAATTATGAAACTGTCCAACATGACAGAAAAAGTTAATTTTAATAGAGAAAAAAATACCTATTTGGTTTTACAATCATAATTTACTAAATGCAGTCTTTTAAAAGTATAACTCAGGCCAAATGCAGTAGGTCATGCCTGTAATCCCAGCACTTTGGGAAGCCTAGGTGGGCAGATGACCCAAGGTCAGGAGTTCAAGACCAGCCTGGCCAACACGGCAAAACCCCGTCTCTACTAAAAATACAAAAATTAGCCAGATGTGGTGGCTTAAGCCTTTATTCTAATCAGGAGGCTGAGGCAGGAGAATCTCTTGAACCTAACAGGCGGATGTTGCAGTGAGTGGAACCACGCTGTGCCATTGTACTCAAGCCTGGGCAGCAAGAGTGAAATTCTGTCTCAAATAAAATAAAAATAAATTATTTCAGAGGTATCCTGAAAGGATTTTACTTACATAAAAAATAACTATTGCTTCATAATGTTGTAAAAATGAAAGGTTATTCAAAACACATCACCTAAGCTCTCACCCTCCAGTTTAAAGATAAAGAGGCCAGTAACAATGGCTCACGCCTGTAATCCAAGCACTTTTGAGAAGCTGAGGTGGGCAGATCACCTGAGGTCAGGAGTGCAAGACCAGCCTGGCCAAAATAGTGAAAACCCATCTCTACTAAAAACAAAAAAATTAGCCGGGTATGTGGTGCGTGCCTGTAAACCCAGCTACCCAGGAGGCTGAGGCAGAGAACTGCTTGAACCTGGGTTGCAGAGGTTGCAGTGAGTCAAGATAGAGTCACTGCACTCCAGCCTGGGCAACTGAGCGAGACTCCGTCTCAAAAAAATAAATTAATTAAATAAATATATACATACATACATAAAAGAATCTCACATAATTAAAACAGGTAAGCAATCCAGAAGTAATTAGTCAATCCTTATTCACAAATCCTGTATCTGAATTCGCCTACTCACTAAAACTAACTTATAATCCCAAATCAACGCTTGCTGCATTTCTGCAGCCATTCATGGACATACTCATGAACAGCAGCAGAAAATGTGAATTGTAGTCCTGGCACAGTGGCTCATGCCTGTAATCCCAGAACTCTGGGAGGCAGAGGTGGTTGGCTTACCTGAGGTCAGTAGTTCAAGATCAGCCTGGCCAACATGGCAAAACACTGTCTCTACTAAAAATACAAAAATTAGCTGGGCATCAGGGCACATGCCTGTAGTCCCAGCTACTCAGAAGGCTGAGGGGTGAGGATCACTTGAACCCAGAGGTGGAGGTTGCATTGAGCTGAGATCACACCATTGCACTCCAGCCTGGACAACAGAGTGAGACTCCGTCTCAAAAAAAAAAAAAAAGTGAGTTGTGTAACTCACACACTGGCAGCTGAGGTGGAACATGCCATCTTGTTTCAGGCCTCCTCATGTGAAAGTGTCCTTTTCACAGTGTCTATTTAAAGCATTTTTGTGATTTTTGCTGGTGATCGTGCTGTTTAAAATGACCAAGTGCTGCCTAGTCTTCCTAACTGCAAGAAGGCTATGACATGCCTTACAGAGAAAATATGTGTATTAAGTAAGTTTTCCCTCTAAAATATCCTTCTACTCACACAAAGAAACTTAAGAAAAATATACTGCTATGTAATTTTAACTATCTATTAGTTATAAAGTAGTCTCAACTGTCTGCCCTAAATTAAGTCCCAAGATACAAAGGCTGAGTGTTCCTAAAGTCAAATACCGATTTCCTCTTCAGAAGTCTTCTGACCCATTTTAAAATCCTCTAGCTTCAGTATAAAGAATAAAACGAAGAACATAAACTAAATGGCCTGCATTAGTATCAAATTCAATTTCACCAGTCTTTGGCATGCATATAAACTATAAAAAACATGGGAAACTGTTATTTATGAGTCTTGAAATAACCACCAGGCAAAATAAATACTTCTTAAGTGTCAACTTTGTATAGGTACTGAATGTTCTGCAAATGTGTATCATGACACTCTAATTTTTGATGTTAAGAAAAGATGTATCCCTCTAAGAAAAAAATAAGTTTAGATAGGTGGATTTTTCTTATAACAGAGTAATATAGTTAAGTTTTGAGATGCCACTAAGTCTTTTTGCCCTTTGATTAATGTGTCCTAATACTCCATAATTAAAGGACCAAGCATCCCCAATATATACAGACAGGTATTTCCGTAACTAAATTTCCTTTCAAATTGGTTGACAGCGTAAGAAATACATGGATTACACATAGGCTTTTTATTCTTTAAAAAACACAATTTTAATGCCATTCATTAATAACACTCACAGATCTGAGTCACAATCATTCCAGGTTTGTCCTTTTTCCCTATTAAGTGCAGGGGCAAAATTATCTCACCAGGATTATGAATTACCACCATCACCACAGGGGTCTCCCAGTTATTCAAGAGACAAACTTTCTGAGGCTAGTCATCTCCAATTTATCTTTGTAGCTTCTTAGAACTGTATATGTACAGAATACAATATATTATCAAAACTTGATGAGGAAAAAAGACAATTCAGCAAAAGGGCTTCAACATTTAACAAAGCCAAGAGAAAAAAGAAGGAAAAATAATTCTAGGGGAAAGGAGTCAGGCCTGAAAATTGATGTCTATGTGGTTTCTAAGGAAACAAACAAGACTCACCTTCCAGATGATTCCTAAACAATTCCAGGTGCTGATCTCATTTAATCTAACAATTTGGCAAGGTAGGTTATCTATTTTGACCAGAAAGGAAACACACTACTGGCATCCTTCTCTGGTTATCTCAGATATGGCTCACACGTTAAGTTTCAGCCCCCTTCCAATTAAATTAAGCGTATTTTTTACTGGGGTTCTTCCAAAGGGAGCCAGCAGATATACGTTGCCTGAGCATCTTAATCTTTGAAAAACAGTTTGCTATAGACCAGATTCAATCCCAAGTTCACCTCTACCTCACGTTAATAAGGGAGGTATTTATACTGGCGATTAAGCTTAGTTCCGCAATTTCAAAATGTCAAAGACCATCTCACGAGTTATGAGGATCAAGTACAAAGTGCCAAATAAGAGCCACACACAAGGCTGAATAACTGAGCAAAGGCGTGCACTGCACTTAGCCCAGTACTTGGTATAAAATGCACACTTAATAAATGCCAACTAATACTGGTGACTACTGTTCGAAAGAATCTGAACAGAATGGGGCAAAGGCGAGCATCCAGCTTCCGACGCTCCATTCTCACATACCCAGTCAAAGTACAGCAAGTGGGCTTCCCCGCACCCCTAGCGCCTGCGCACCCTCCCAGCAGCAGGGCTTTGCCCTCGGTATCCTGACCCCTTCCTGGTAACACCCGGTCCCATCCTCACCAGCCTCCCCGCTACCAAGCAGCCAAACATGGCGGCGGCGGCAGCTCCGTTCAGCCGGCAGTGACCTGAAGCCGGCGACAAGGAGTCCTGGGGCTACTGCCCTAGTCGAGACTAAGAACCTTCCAGAATTTGCGGGAGGGTGTCTGCCCCTTTACATGGTGACTGGGCCAGCGGCAGGAACGCCTTCTGCTACGGCGACCTCTGACCTTCTCTTCCTAAGCAGCACGCCGCTCAATGAGTACTTCCGGGGTTTACACTCGGGTTTCCCCACTAAGGAAGGCCGGTCAGCCCCAGTACAAGACTACAAGTCCCAGAGGGCCGTGCGCCGGTTTCCGGGAAGGGAACCCCGGGGGCTTTGCAGGCAGGGATCGGTAGTCCTGGTGTTCTATATCAACACAGTCTGTACAGTCTGGATCCCTCATTTTCATGTACAATGGAAGAAATGCTTGTAACGTTTCTGTAACATCTGAGAGATTAACAGTGCGCTTTTACAATAATCACATCGTTAGATCTTTACAAAAATTCTATGAGATATTTTAATCTAAATTTTATAGGCTTGTAGTGACCAGCCTCAAATCTTTACACAGCAGTAAATGTTGGAGGCTGAATTCAATTCCTAATCCAAATCTGGGTTTTTTTCTGCTACACAGTATTTCAGAAGTACTAATCTTTAACCAATTGTTTTGTACTTGTCTACTATTTATAGTAGTTCTTTCCAGCTTCACTTAGTTCTCCCACTCATTTGCTGTACAATTGTGGACAAGTTGTATGATGTCTCCGTGCTTCAGTGTCCCTCCTTTGCAAAAGACAAATAACGTGCCTATCTCCTAGGGCTGCTGTGAGGATTAAATGAGCTAATATGTATAAAACACTTAGAATGGTGCCTGGCCATGCTTAATTAGTGGGAGTTTTATTGTAAATATGTCTATGTTTTTCTATATGCATTTGCAAAAAAGGTTTATAGGAAATAGAAAACAATAGCAAAAAAAAAAAAACTGGTATCAAGTGCTGATTGCCACCAACATTTATTCTCCCTTTTACAGCTCCAATTCCTTTTCTTCTTGAATAGGATGGTAAAGGGTCTCTGTCCAACTTGAAATATCTGGGGTCAGCCACCAGCCATAAAACAGGCCTGTCTTCCCAGTCCTCAGTTTATATATAGGGGATCAGAGTTTGGGACAGTCCTCTAGCCTCTACTGTGGATCCCTAAACTGATTACCTATCTTATCACCAGTACTCCCTTGAGATAGCTGAGCCAAAGATGAAGAGGTAGGAAAGGATCTACCAATGTCTCCAACTTGCTACCTAAAAAGTCCTAGAACCTTCAGAATAAAAAGGCCATTCATATAAAGACCACTTCATAAATTAAGGCACCCACACTACCTGGGTTCAGAGCCCATCTCTTCCATTTATTAGTTACATAATCTTAGGCAAGTTAACCTAACGCTCCCAATAGCTCCTTTTCCCTATCTTTAAAATGACGTAATAATAATATCTACCTCATAAAGTTGTTACGAGGGTTCTTACATGTAAAGTATCCAATAGTGGCCAGAATGTAGGTTACTCAAAAAATGTTAATATTTAGCATTATTGCCGTTCCTAATTTCCATGTCTTCTTTATACTCACCTTGTACACTAGCCATACTTTTGAATTCTCTGACCATCTCCTACTTTTAAATTTGTATGTGCTTATACAACTTCTTTTATCTCCCTGTAATATTCACTTGGTTATTTCTTACACATCCTCTCAGTTTTCTTCAGTAATCTTTCTATGACACACCTGATAGTCATTTCTTCCCCTACCCAGCAATCTTATTTAATAGATTGAGAACTAGCTAGCTTAGAAACTGTTTTTATAAACTACAGTTGCTGTTTATTATTGTTCAGCAGCAAAAGCTAACTTCTTTGTAATTCCTTCATTGTATGAAAATAATTTTTTTTTTTTTTTTTTTTTTTTTTTT